TAAAAGCTTAATTAACATACATGTTGAATAATTAAATCGTTTAAATATTGAAAATGTAACTATGTTAAAATAAAATGCTAACTATATATATATTGTCAAGTCAATGTAAGCACTTAACTGCAATATACTAAAGAGAGAGCTCTCTGCCTTTAAATGACATCAAGTACTCCACATGGTTTCTACCAAATTTTTCTTACAATAATTAATTAGCTATACCTTCAGTTTTTGTTTTTAGCCATTTGAAAATTAATTGAAAGTTACTGTGATACTTTTTGTAGGGGTACCTAATCTGCATTGGTCAAACCAATTTGATACTGGAGTATTATTTTACTTTGGTAGTATACTGGTTTACAAACTAATACAAAATCACACCAAACCAACCTACATTTGATAGTAGCTAGTACTTTAGTTTCTACATATTTACTTAACTCAATTAAAGCAAACAACACTAACTAGTTAACTGGATTAATAGTTATTAACTTTTACTTGAAAGATACTCCCTCTGTTTTAAAATATAAATTGTTTTAGTTATTTTTTTTGTTTCAAAATGTAAATTGTTTTGACAATACTATGTACTTTTTAACTTTACTGAATACTGTGTAACCACTAATATTTTGCAATTTTTTATATAATTAGTCAAATTATTTTTATTAGATATATTAAATAATATTTGTTTAGTAAAAAAATAATTTTTTAATATGCGTGTTTTTAAGTAAAATAATTTATATTTAGAAACCTAAGGAATAGTTTGTTAGTCTAATCATTGTAAGCTTGGAGGAAAAAAGTAATAGTTTTCATCTTCTTCACTAATAATTCATGTAAATAAAGTCCATATGGATTTGGTCGTTCTGACCCTCCAAAAAAAGATAATTCATAGGGTCGTAGGGAGAATAAGTACATATTCATATCTCACATTTTCTTTTCTTTTTTCGTTTAGGAACAAAATTACAAAACAAAATTTAAAATCACCGAAAGTTTACATGTGATTGGCTTTATGATAACTTTTTGGATTTATTAGGAATGGACCGGCCCCGAGATATGTTCTAAAAGTAATTTATTGATTGTACGTGACATTGAACATTGATCACACCTATTTATCTATGTACATATATATGTACACTTCATATGCAGAATTGAGATTTTAATTAAAAACGTACCGATTTTGGCTAACACTGCACGTACTAAAAAAAGACCCACTTATAAACGTATGGTTGCGACCCATACATAACTCGTGACCTCCAAATTACATCTTTTGGCGACGAAGAGATTTTTAAATATAGAGTCTAGAAGACTACTTTCAGATATTATATGTAAATTTGAGTTTACCCATGTTAAAAAGTTATGAATTGATTTTGGCAGAAAAGTGTCACGTCTAGTTTCAACATAGGGTCGTTGCCCACAAGCAAACGCTTAGATGTAAATATATTCACACAGATGTAGAACTATGTCAATCACACTTTAGCTCTCTTAAAACCACTCACATTTTTATAAAAATTTCAGTCTAAACATTACTTTTTCTACTACGCTTCATGATTTTTTTAAAAACTTATAATTGATGATTTTTATTATTTTAAAATCGCAGGCATTTAAAAAAAAAGTCACAAGCAAAAAAATTGAACAGTTTTATTTACCGTAGTAACAACCACAAGTAAAAGTCCAAACCAATCACTCTCTAACCTATGTGGGTTTCCATCATTCTTTTTTGTTTTATTGTGAAAAGGAATATTCTCTGAACAGTGAATTTTTAAAATATCATAAGTCATCAAAATTAGACGAATGGGTTAATTACCCTAATTTCTATAAAAATTTGAATTCAGAAATTGAAATTGTGGTTTCTGGACCTGGAGGAGATGATGAGAAAATGAAACAATCGGTGCGAGAAAATGAAGACGTGGCAGAGAATTTATGACACTGATACGGACACTTTTTAAACACTCTCTCTTCCCTCAATAAATTTTAAAAGTTTTTATGGGGACCACACGTACTCGTCTGTATGCTAAATCACCCAAGAAACAAAAACAATGAAAATATTTTGACCAAAAATATAATTTTGGAATTGACTCGATTGGAAAATTTGCAATTAATACTTGAAGATGTAATGTTAGAAGACAGAAAAGGGTTAATGTGTCCATCAAATTGTGTCGACATAAACAAATTCCGAAGACACCAGCAAAGTTTTAACATTTTTTTTTAATCAAAAACTCAGCTTGATTCAGATGTATAAAATTGTAAAAAGACGACAAATTCCTAAAGATTTTATATTTAAATAACATCTAATATGTAGATCAGTAGATGACTAATTTGATTTT